AATATGCAATAGTCACGTAACCAATGATTAGAGATGAATATCATCTGTTCTCGTTTATGCACACCGTATGTAATATGTTCTAACAACGTTAATTATTAATGAATATAGATAACTTACTTTCATCCTATTTTATTTCCTATTCTACAAGAATCTTCAAGAGTGTTTTGAGAAAAAAGATGTTGAGTTATTAAAAACAGTATTATGCAGTATGGATCCACAACAAGCCGAATATCATATGAAAAGATGTGTTGATAGTGGCCTATGGGTGGATAATGCACGTGATCAACAAGAAGAAGATGGTGAATCATCGTCAAATGTTAACACTGACGGTAATGATGGTATTGCTGCTACAATTCAAACAGATAAAGAACCAATCCATGATAACGTCTAACATAATAAATTTTCTTGTATACTCCTCGCTATCGAAAAATGTTCCCTCTCTGTTTATTAAAGAAAAGTAAACGATTTTATACATACTTCATATCAATCACTACTGAATCCTTGCTACAACTCTCCTCTTGTTCTTATGCGTTTATCATCTATCAAGTTATATTAAAGCGTTTGTTGGTTGAATTTCTTTTCTTAAAAATGAGTCCACTGGATTGATTTAGTATGTAAGCACATTGTTTCATTTCTAATTAATATATATGTGTAAAGAGTAATTCCTACGAACGACTAATGGATTTATGCATATTTTCTTGAATGGTTTGTTTTTCTCTCACCTCGAGACAATATATCAGTAATGCAATAAATGTAATAAGCTACATTTTGGATTGTGTGTACGCGCTACAACTAAGGTAGACAATGGTAATGAGATCCGAAAACACAGTCTTATCATTTGCGAGTTGAGCATGTTAACTACTGAGCAACATCTTGCCGGAATTCATGATTCCCTAATTAATCTGATTTAACTTGAGGAAATATAGTCATTTCATTTCGGGTCAGTCAGCTGCAACGTAGGACCAGGCACATATACGCATCGGTCCAAATGACCACACTTCATTAGCACAATAAAATGAACACTAAATTCATAGTAGTTACTTCAATGGTAGTAATATATAAAAGAAAGAATGCATTTGATGATATAATACAGGTAGAAAGAATTAGTTCGTAGAAAGAAAAGCATAAAGCAATTTTAATCTCACGGTTTAAGGGAAGATAGAAAGCTTATACACCTAGGCCATTGTAATCAATTCTGAGCCATGTCGCCAAGAGTCTTCAACCATTGGTTATAATAGTCGTGTGAACCCCAACCAAGTAGTCTGCATTTATCAACATGGATCGGATCAGAAGTTAGTAGTTTGGCCCCCCATAACTTTCTTCGGACCATCCCCAACACTAGTGAGCATTGGGCGTCGTCGTAATCGGTGTTCGGGCATACGCAACACGTGGCCCAACCATCCCAGTCGATGAAGATTCACAACCTCATCAACTGACTTACCATTATTCCCTCACTATTACTTACCCGGTAATCCCAGCAGATGCGAGCAATATTTAAAAAGCATCTATTATCAGATACTAGTAGCTTACGAGTAGCTTCTACTCTTGATTGACACGTTTCGCAGCTGTAAAATAAAACAGAACAGACTGCCGCGCAGTATACCAGTCCTTTTATTGATAGACGGGTATCTCGCCTTCGCCATAAGTGACGTAAGTTGGCAAAAGTCAGACGAAATTCTCGAGTCTGTGCGGAGATTCCGTGAGACACCAACACATTAGGGCTGACCAGACCTCCGAGATAAGTGAAGTTGTCGACGCTTTCGACTACTTGACTCTCTATCCTTAGTTCAGGTGTTGACACAGACCAGTCCTGAAGCAACAACTTGCATTTAGAGGGATTGTTGCTTAGTGCTACCAAAAGACTGCATTTTATCAGCGTCTTCACCAAACAGAACTATATCATCTGCGTATTCTAAGTCGATAAGTGGACCTCCTGGAAGGAGATCAATACCCGAGAATTCAGTCGACGAGAATGTTATTTCCATCAATAGGTCTATGATGAAGTTAAACAAAAATGGAGATAATGCACAGTCTTATCGTACACTACTTAAGGTTGCGAAATCAGATGACAGTTCGCCATAAGCTCCAACTCGACTGGTAGTGTTCGGTTAAAGAGCCTTCACAAGGTACACATACTTCTGAGGTACACCTTTCACTGACAGGAACAGGACCTCTTGGTCTACAGAGTCAAATGCTGCTTTTATGTCAAGAAAAACTATCGTTGTCGGACGCCAATAAGCATACCTATGTTCTAAAACTTGACGAATGGTGAATATGTGGTCGATACAGCCACGACCGGGTCTGAAGCAAGCCTGATTTTCTCGTGTTTGCAGTTCACAAGTCTTAGTTAGGTGTCCGATAATTATTTTATTTATTATTATTTATTTGAACACATAAATATTGGTACAAGAGAGCGCCAATATATATGCGCCACACAAAACAATGAAAATTCGAAGAGAGATAGAAAGAAATTAGGGAGCACAAAAGAAAAAGAGAACGATAACGAAGAGATTGGTGTAAGGTAGTGTGGTCGTAACGATGGAACGGAAAGGTACAATCAGAAGAAATTAGTTTAACTAATATAGCATCTAAAATACTAGCCTCAATAATTATCGGACAGAAGAAAAGATTTCTTCTGTCCGATAATTATTGAGGCTAGTATTTTAGATGCTATATTAGTTAAACTAATCCCTCTATGGTTGTCACAGGATAATCTTGACCCCTTTTTATATATTGGGACAATCAGTGATTGCGACCAGACATGATGGGATTACGCCCAGATTTTAGCTAAAATATTAGTCAACCTAATCGCTAAAATTAGACCACCATACTTTGGGAATGGTGGGTAGTTGTAGAGTAACTGAAGGTCAGTTGAACTGCTCTTTAAAGTGTCCAGCTGATCGTTCTAAATATCTGAACTGGGAGCAGATAAGTGTCGTCTTTTTCCGAGATCGTCTCACACTTGACTTCTTAATTCGTTTTTTTTATAAGCCTGGAGAGCTGCCTTGTGTTACCTACAGCAGTTCCCTTTCCCATCTCTTTTGCTTTCGTTGCCCACCACTGCTCACAGTCGTTCCTTAGACTTTTGGTTAACCTAGAACTGATTTGTTTTCGTTCTTCATCGTTTTCAGAGCCTGATGGGATGATTTCACGAGACTCCATCAGTGCAATAGACTTGGTAGAAATCCATTGGTTTAAATCACTAATGAATGCCACTGCTGTTCATATACTTTTCCAAGCAACACCTGGGTCATCCTCGTTTTCAGAACTACCTAAGCGTGACCTCAGTTGTTCCTGGAATCTACTGTTGGCTTTTTCGTCATTGAGTCCAACTCTAATGGGTCTTAGTGCGGTCCATTGAGGCGCAAGCAAATACGTGCTCGTGTTAGAGCATGATCAGTCTAAATGTGTACTTCAGAACGAGCGGCAGTTTTCTTTCGAACCTCCCCAATGATGACTGATGGCAATATGGTTTATTCGAGTCTTTCATCGGTTTAATGCAAGGGGTCTCTACGTTAGACTGTCTCATGATTAAGATTAGTGCTTGTTATAAATAAACGACTGTGTGAGCACAGCTGCAGCAGACGATCACCATTATCTGTCCGTTGTGCCGGAATACTTAAATGTTCTGTTTGGTTTAAGCTACCTACTTGAGCATTAATGTCACCTGCTACGAGTACTATATTCGAGGGTTTAGCTCTATGAAGAAGTTCATAGAGCTTTCTATGAGTCATCTTTCACTTCATCCGGGTTGCAATCAGTGGGAGCGTAGGCAGAAACGTGTGTCCTTATCCTCCCGAGTTTCTATGGAGCCGTTTAGCCGAACAACACATGGGCGACTGTTAACGGGGATTTATTCTATTGTGCTTATTCTGCTCTCGTACTTAGTGCTATTCCTACACCCACCAGTCCACGAGAACTAGCCATTGGGTCGCCAGATACGAAGGATGTATCTCGTCGGTTCTCCGTTTTGGCAAGGTAAGGTCAAGTGAATGACCACACTAGGATCCTGTATGCTTTTCAGAGACACAGCATACATCAATGGTACGAGATTCTAGAGTCTCAGCCAAGGAGGCCTGCTGGTCAATTTGACATAGGTTGATTATGAATACAGCGGTCTTGAGTGCTGTTAGAGGTATGGGGGCGGTTATCACCTCCCGGTTGCCCACACCATGGAAGGTTTATCATGGAGGTATCTGAAAAGGAGACTATGTTAAAGGTGGTCTTAGTGACCTGAGAGTGTGACCACAGCACCCAAGGGACAACTGCTTGAGGTCGGTCACACATGACCTTCAAGTGAGTAATCTTCGTTTTAGCTCCATCTGTTTTGGGACCTTACCGCCGGAGACAGATATTTGTGGTATAAGGCAAAGTGTGCATTTTTAGGATCGACATTTCGTAACCCCCACCTCTCCTTGTGGGTAGGCAGCATCACTTATGCCGGTCATCTGAAGGAAACACCTTACTGTTGTCACACCTCTGTACAGTCAGCAGTACGACTTCGCCTTCGGACCTTGGGTTTGTTGCTTTTAGTCTTACCGCTCTTCAACCGACCTGTTTGACATGGTAGGACCTTGAGGGACGATTGTTCCAGCCAGTATAGCTCGATTAGTTCATTACGATAGGCATGCCCGACCACTACGTCAAGGTAGTAGCAATGGTCCGAGTGCAGATTTTTATATTCATTCAGTCACTTTTACAGCGTTAGATTCAGTGAATACACATCGGCTTAAGCAGTGTAAATTTATGTAATTATGAGAGAGAGAGTTACATTTATACAGCATACCGTTATAACTACACATCAATATCTATAAACGTTATGGAGATAACAGTAAGATGTGATGTTGATATTTACTGTAGCTTGTCACAGCTCGCTTCAATCTTTTATGTAATGAAATTGATTAAAATGCACCGCTACTAATACTACTACTATCACCAGTGTGTACAAATAATTTAATACGAAATTAAAGAAGCATGTACAATCAGGAAAAACTCATTATTTGTAGAAAATTAACTTGAAATGGTTTTATTTGACAAACCTTTTTTTAAAAACAAAGATAACTATTATGGTATAGCTGCTAAATAATCTTTCACTTCATCTGATGTTAAAATCCGAAAACCATTTTCATTGCATACACCAACTTCAATATTACTTTCTGTCATTTGACCTTCAAAACTCTCTTTTAAAGTTAATATGGCCGCGTGTGTAGCATCCTCCAGTTCTAAATTTTCATTATATCTATCAATAGAAATATAAAGGCATCTTAAATGCATTAACAGATCAAATTCAATGTTCTTTTTTTTATTGTAAAGCAAGTTTGAATATTCATTTCTTCCTCAAAATTTTTTCATAAGGTAATTTATTTATCAAGTAAGCACATAGTGATTGTACCTAGCTTTTGGTCATATTAGGCTCTTTAAAACCGATATAACTGAATCAAGATTGTGATCTGTTATCTATGAGTTAAACTCTAACTATCTAGACATCACTTTAAATCAATAAATGATGAATTCTGTTTAACTTCAGACGACGAATGGCGAGATAACATTCCATCACAACCATGATTGACAGTGAAGCATAACATAGCCGTTGAAAAGCACTTAATTTATGATGTCGATTATTAGTTAGTTATTAAAGAGCAAAAAAACTCTAATCAACAAAATCCAAATAGAAAAATCAATTTACCGTTTTTCCAAAAAGGATTTGCCATTTTGTGAATTTTGTCCTAATGCAGTAGCCTTCCAAGGGAAATACGTACCCTATGACAAACAAAAAATGATTAAGGTACAGGTTGAAACAACTGGATTTCCATGGTGGTGGAAATTGCTTTAAAGCTCATATAACGAATCACCAATTACAAACACTGGTTAGTTTCATTTTGCTTATTGAGTACGCAAGTTTACCGTCTGCATTGGTGTACAATGGTGTTTGAAGTTAAAATCACCCTTGCAAAAAAACCATAGATGCTATAACATTAATTCACGAAGTCACTGTCAGTCAAATTCACAATGTCCTTGATATGAATCTTAAAAGAATCAGAAATGGGCAGTTGTAAATCCTAAAGAGTTCATGTTGACGCACTGTTTATCTTCCCATTTCAGTTCTTATGCTCTATGACCAATGTTTAAAGTTTTAGCGAAATACATCTTTTTGTACTATGAGTGGCAACATGAACCTATTGGTTCCCGTGTGAGGTTGAACAGCGGTATATTTTTGTCTAATTTAACACGATTCTTGCTTACCGGTAATAAGGACGCAACAAGAAGCTTTTGAAAATATTCTTACTGTTGTGATATGTTACATGCAAAATGTTATTTAATTGGTAGGAGATAAATTTTTTCTGGATGGTTTATATAATTTGTGTTCACATAATAAACTTACAGAAGGGTCACATTGGTAAAGAAATGGTCGTTGCAAATCTCTATCCCATCCTGCAACTAATAGGGAGACACCAAATGGGCGAACACCCCTGGAAATAGAAGGCAAGAATATAATTATGAATAAAATTGCATTATTTGTGATGCAAAAAAAACAAGGGATGAAAGTTCGATGAGTGGATTATTATTTGCAGTGAATGCACATAGAGGAAACTTATGTGTGTTGAACTACATACCTTAAGTAATAATAAAATTAAAACAGCCTACTTTTGAACTGCTTAAACACTAAACACCCTAAAATACTGATATATGAGCGGATAATGTTTTTCCAGTGATTCTTCACCAAATTCTAGCTACACATCTGAATGAATAGTCCAAGATAATGTCCATGTTCAAGGAAAATAAATGATTTAAAATTGCATTTTGGATTTAGAATTGTTGATGGAGGTAAATAAGATTGAGATGACTGACATTTAGTGTTAACCTGGGTAAATTGATATGTCAATTGGAATCGTGAGATTGATAATTAGAACAAATATACTTATGGATTGAGAAACACGAATGTAACTGCAAATCGGATACAATTTTTGGTCTAAAGCTACATACATAGTGTATAAAACAATATAGATTCGTTGAAGAGGGTGGTAACATGGGACGTCTTTCTTGTAACGCAATTATCAGATACTTGGGTATGAAGCACATTCTAAGTGTACAAGAATGATTCCACTACCCGGTTGCCTAACCAGAAGTAAATGAATAGGATGGACACTAAATAAATTATTCTTGTGTTTGAAAAATTAATACTGATGTTAACAGAATTATGATCATAATAAGATGTGCGAGTAAGGGAGCTGATAATAACATTTGAATAAGAATGACTTCAAGTTATAAAAATACAGAAAGGGGAAGTTGTATGCGCACTAAGCAAATTAGGTAAGTCTATAACGAAGATTCGTAGTGAATCATTAGACCTGAGGTCAGCCAAAGAGAAAACGTTGAACATAATTCATTTGTAAACATAGCCCCAGCGATTTTTAAACCTGATTTACTGTTGGTTTTACGGCTTGAGGAAATTCAAGTCTGTAATATTAATAAAGACAATCACTCATCCGACAAACTGTTGGGAATGATTGGTTTGCCTAGGCGCTATGACTAGTCTGAACTAAATGAACCAATAGTAAGCTATTTACTACCTTGACTACACCTCTTCTGATACAGGGTTGGATAGTACTCACGGACACAGGAATGCAAGTCACTAAAACCTCAACTAATGTAACCTGGTCCACAGAAGCAGTCGAAATTTTTGACCAAACATTTACTCCGATCTACCACTATTTTGTCTCTTAGGATCTATGTTATCTATTTTCACTTGACGTATGAATTTATTCAAGTTAGCATCAACATATTAGTCATTTCAAGTGATTTATTTGCCTTGGACTATAAAATTATTTCGGACATATGACTAAAGAAACGACAGGAATTAATTAAATTGATTGTGTTTAGTTACAAAATCCATTAATATGGACAGCGTGAAATCTAGTAGTATCCCAAACAGATCACTGGCAGTTATGGATTTATATACCACGTTGACTTGACGATCTTGAGTTACTAGTATAGGGGTTGTGGAGATTATCAAATTTTTGATTGAGATCATGAACCAATTGATGTTAGACCATCACAATTGAAAACCTGGAAGCACTGGACGGCCGTTTCGTCCTGTTGTGGGACTCCTCAGCAGTGCGTATCCACGATCCCGCGAGAGGGATTCGAACTCAGGGCCTTCGGTCTCGTGCGCGAACGCTTAACCGACTGGACCACTGAGCCGAGGAGTCGTAACAATAGTGGAAATAGATGAGACAGTAGTTAGAAAGCGAAAATGTAACAAAGGACGTTTTATCAAGGAAGATTGGGTAAGTAGCACTCCCGTATATATACTTGACAGGTACTTGGATTTTATGATCGTTCAACCCAAAAGAGACATTTTCAAAGATTGAGAAACCGTCAGGCAACGACAATAATACCAATCAGAAAGGAGTACGTCCAGCCTGGCACCATGATATATACAGATGATTGGAAAGTCCAACGATGCCACCAGAGACTTGGGTCTGTGCATCATGCTGTAGTGCACAAACGCCATTTCGTCGATCCAACGACGGGGATTCATACAAACAATATTGAAGCCATGTGGTATAGGCTAAAGGAATTTTTAAGATCTTAGCATGGCTCTAGAGGACGATTATTATGGATCCAAATGGACGAGTTCCTACGCTGCATGCATTATGATTTCAGACCTTCCGAACATTTATCTAACCTTAACAAGTTTTCAAATTGTGTAAAAAAAGAATATCCACTGTAATTCATATGTTCTTCATAATATATTTTTACTTTATACTAACTCTCTTCTAATTGACTAATATTTCTTAAGGTCACATAAAATTCGTTCGGTCGACCATAAAATATAGTCTCGTCGCGAGTGCTATACAGCATGAAGCATGGACCTCCTTGTGAATAACTTCAGCTGCAACAATCAAGGGGAAACTATATAAAAATCGTCAGTGAATTCTATTCCGTTGATATAGATAGCAATGATGTGGAAAAGTTCATACTTTAAAAATGTGAAGTGGAGAATAGAAAGCAGAATGGATAGTAAATTCTAGTGATGTAGATGTTCTGCTATAAGGCCACATCACATAAGTATACATAATATTTGTCTGTCAAGAGTAACTAATTACTATATCTATAATTCGATATGAAGCATAAACATTGATGTGATCAGTTGGCTAGCTAACTTTTGTCGATATAAACGCGAGAACGACAGGAATACAAAACCCACCCGGATTGTGTATATTCTTGCATAACAGCAGCTATTCGGATAACCAATTGTTCTGGAGATATAGGTTCACCATACGCCAGCTGATATGCCTGAGACGACTTTCTGGCCTGTTTAACCAATACACGATAATCTGGTGACAAGCCACTGTAAACCATCCCTATCCCATCTGTCACTTGCTCAATTTTTGTCACTGTTGACTCGTCCATAAGTTTTGAAGTGAACTTTTTTACTGCAGCAAGCACAACCCCATTCGCGGCACGTATACCAACAGACGGAGCTCCAGCTTCAACTGCTTTCAATGCATATTCGATCTGAACAAGCTTTCCGGATGGACTGAAGTTTTTGGTAAAGTTTAGAAATATGGGCTCACCTGAATGTAGTTAAGGAGAAGCTGTATCTTTCGCTCATGATGAAGCAAACTAAAGGTCACGGAATTTCAAACTGTTTTAAGGTCGTTCCATGTTTCCAATAACTTTGAAGTGGGTGTGTATGAAAAGATTAATTTCATTGCTCTCGCTTTTTGTTGACCCGATACGGTTATGAGTATTCTTACCAGTACAACGGTGTTTGCACATCAAGGTTAGGGGTGGTTGTGCACGCGTAATTTTTCATAAAATATACTAAAGCAACGGAATACAGGGATAGTATAAAATAGTTATCTTTTAGTAGAAGTTGAGTATATGTACCTATGAGCGCGACCAGCCTCACGGAATCGTAGAGGACTGAGGCTTTGTTATTCTTCATGAATCAAGCCTAAATGAACCACATGTGTTAATTAACCATATCAATGCGTATTTACCTGATAACTGGAAGAATGGTCTAGTGTTTTCTAACGTAAAAAGCAAAAGCAATATGTACCATATTTTTTATGTAGGTTGAATTCACATGATGACGTGAAGTTGTTGATGACATTGCTGCAAAAGTACCCCACTTTATTTCGTGGAGAGGATAGTGTTGGAAAATCTATGGTTCAAATCTAGATATCGTTGGTTTCAGCACACAGCTGACATAGCGACTTCATAAAATTCAAAGATTTAAGTCAGTCCATTCCAGTTTCAGTTGTTGATTCCAATTCTAATGAGTATATTCTAGATAACACAGAGTCTACGCCGAATACACGGTCGGACATACACATAATAAACACATGGAGAAGCGGTACAATTGGTTGCCGGAATTTGGAATCTCGTTCAAGTTGTAGCGTGTGTGGTGCTCGTATGAACTAATGGCTCTTTTGCACCTGATGTCCGCCTGATTTCCAGTTACAGGTACACTGCATTCGTCTGTGCTAACCTACTTCTCTCTGCATAGACTGCACTATTTCGAGAATTCCTAGACCGTACAACAATTCGGGTACTTCTAACAATCACAATGAGTTACAAACTCAACCAACTGATACAGTCGCAACTATCCATTCATTTAAGGACTCAAGTTACATACACCTAGGTCTCAATCTGTATGTAAACCAATAAACGAGTAAACTGAGAAGTAATATGTTTCATATCACCAAACGTCCTTCAAAATAGAAAACATCCGTGAGTTGTAAGTATTCAATCACAGGCGTCTTCCAACAACTGCTAGTGTATATTATGCAATAATTGACCAGTAGTGTTGAGGTTAGACGGACAGTACCATGTAGAATTGTCAAGTCGGTTGACGCGAACATCGAATTTCAGAAATTATCTCATCACGCTGTAAAAATACTGTAAAGTTACAGGCAAACACAGATGATTGTGAAACAGAGTAGTTTGGAGAGTAGTTTTGGTTAAGTACAAACCTCGATGTGATCCCACTTGCTGTAGTTGAGACGCGACATCCTCACAAACAAAATGCAAGGAAAAGTTTAGAAACTTCTTAAAAATCCGCTGGATTAACAAACATCAAATCTACCATTTGAGGATTTGGTCTGTTATTGGAGCAGTACTAATATGAAAGTAGACCATAAATCCAACAATATTATCAATACTATTGCTCACGTTACTAGTACCACCAAATTACTATTGATCATATTACTGCTACTCACACTATTTCCCACAATACTACAACGATTTACAGTATTACGGCATTAAATATTTCCAATCACATTGAATCTAGGACTCGTATTAGTTAAAATGCCGCACACATTACAACCACTACGAATAATACTGCTCAATTTACTGCTATTGAAAATATTACTAATATTCTCGGTTCAACTACTACTACTACTACTACTACTACTACTACTACTACTACTAATACTACTACTACCACTACTAATACAACTAATGATGCAATTGCTACTCACATTAATGATGCCATTACTAATTGTCACAACACTACCCACTTTATTACTATTGCTTCTGTTACCACTCAAACCACTTCTGCAACTAATATACTACTAATCGACTACTACTACTACTAATGTTTTTACTCCCACTAATACTGTAGCTAATGACGTTTTCACACTTCTACTCACACTACTGCTACTGCAAACAATACTACTACACACACTAATATTACCATACTGATATTACAACTATTACCTTTACCAATGCATCTAATAATACCCACACTGCGACTGCTACTACACCAAACTACACTAATTTTCACACTACCACCACTAGTGCCTATATTACTAGTACTGACTGCATAACCCACACTACTACTGGTACTGATTACACTACTTCTCGCAGCAATTTCACTATTACTAATAATAATGCCACTAGCGTTACTACTAGCACTCACACTACACCACACACAACTACTAATACTGCTACAACGACCACTATTCAAATCACTACTCACTCTATCAGCACAACTACTTATTTTACCAGTATCACCACCAGTCACACTACTAAACACAATGCAAAGGCTACTACTAATGCCACTCACATTACTAACGTTTCAATGATTGTATTATTTTTGTGATTAGTAGTAGAAGTGTTGCGAACGAGAACACCGGCGAAGGCAACCTAGTGCATTTGAATACAAAGTTACAGAATCGCCTAGTAAAATCTGAGAACGATACGGTAAATAATTCATTTGCAAAATGTCAATCAATTGACTCAAACATGATTGTTCCTTTGCTTCCGCGTCAATCATTATCTGTGTTCATTCGATTTTCTTCAATCATCCCACCATTCTACCACAAGAAATCTCGCTTGCGATTGATGATAAATACTACTTATAATTGCCGACATCAGTAGTAAACCTCAACGTTGTAGTAATACACTGTAAATGTAATATTATACAACTAATTGAAACATCAACACATATTTATGATGTGATCTTATAATCGTCTACTGAAGACGTCTTGTTTCAACATTACACTTTATGAGAAAACCAGATTGTGAAAGGATGCTCATAGTTTTCAATTTTGGAATGTCACGCGCTGATGTTTATGTGACTTAATATTTACACTTCATTATTCAGAACAATAATAACAACAGCAAAAACAAAAAGAGAATTCAGAATAATCAATCTTCAAACAGACCAAAATTCGTAACGGAAATTAGGCCACGTTCCACAATATATTGAGTGAATATAGTGAGCGATCTTGTTCTGCAGTTGATTTATGAAATACTCTTGTGCGATACTCTTGTCAATGAAAGAAAGCAGATAAACAATAGAAGTTACATTGTTGACAAAATTCTATAATGGTCAACATCGAAATTTAACTGGTAATTACACAAACCAACACATATATCAGATATAACCACAGTTGAGTTCTCAATATCCACAATCAATACTGAGTTTCTATGGGAAGAAAAGAGAACATCAGTATTGATTAAAGTCAAACAAAAGAGTGTCAAGTTAAATAATAGATTATAATGGTAAAATTCCGCCTTCAATAAGTGAATTCATTGTGCTAATGATTAAAAATAAAGCTGGAGGAGCGAATGAGTGGAAAACAGTCGTCCTACACAGATCAAATTAGAGAAAAATATCTTACATTCATTTAGTTTGCCACGTTCATTTCTCGGATTTGTGAGGTCTGTCCAATAGAGGTGCCTAGATTTATGCCACAACCAAACTAGAAATTAGATATCTTACCTCTTCTCACCAAAATAGATAGAGTTATCTTGAATTAAATAGAGACAAGCAACAAGTCAAAAGATAGGACCTAAGAGACACGACAAGAACACACACATTCATGTCTTACACTATATTGCTCGAAACGCGTTTTTCGTTATTACTGATAGACTCCAAATGAAACTGTCAGTTTTATTCTGTTTTCATACCAAATCGTTATATAATGTGGCTTATCCAGATGCATGTGGATTCTAGTTGGTAAATGGTGTCTGTTGACACCAAGTGCCTCGTGACAGCCCCCATCATTAATGTAGCGTAGAAGGATACCTTCGGTTCCTAGAGTCTAGAATTCCAGAACGTTTTGGCTAGTCGAACCACTTGCTGGACCAATATGTCCTTAGAATTCAAGGACTACTTTGTGAACTTTTTCTTTTCGGATATTGTAGGTTGCATAATCAGGGTTCAGAAAAAGTTGTGCCGGAGTTTCTTAGAGTGTATTGATGAAAGTGAGCTTCGAATATCGTTTTACATCGTCTTTTGTTTACCCATCAATATCTTAATTTCGCAGTTTATCATTTTCTGAGAAACTAATCTGATCTTCAGTTATATGATAACTGTTGCTTCTAGCAACTCGACCTTCTACGAATAAAATCATTATTGTTCAAAAATTATTCATCCAGAATATACCATCAAACTGAATAGGGTTAATACAGCTTGATGGCTAGGAAAATAATAGTGGAAGATACCGAAGACCGAGAGTGATAATGTGATGTCAAGCATCCAGCTTGAGAAACCATTCCTTCCATGCTAGCTTGTCACAAGGATATAAGATAATCTCAGGAAGCTGGTAAACACACATTAGATAGCAATTTTGCCTAAATCCTAGAAGACAGATGTTGCTGTTTCATCACCGGAACACCCGATGATGAAACAAATCATCAGATACTTCTGTAGCAACGTTAGGGGACTAAACGGTGAACTAAGGGAATTTAGAAACGTGTGCTTTCAGTTAGATCGGAAAATCCCATTCCCCACAAGAACATGGCCATCGCCCGATATTATGTATGAAGAATGGTAATATACACTAACAGCCATTTCAAAGCCGTAACACCACACTCTACCGCATTAACCAAAATGTTAGAATAATGTGGTATTGTTAAATGTAAACGGCGTAAAGTAGATAACTGAAAGAATATGCCGAGCCCTTGAAGGTTGTAAAACAAAAAAAGTATGAAATAAAACAAACGATACTAAAGTAAACGTTTGACCGAAGATCATAAGCTAGAGATTTTAACGTTCCATCCCTCAATTTTAGTAAACTAGACTCAACACTTACAAGATAATTTCATCAGTCACAATTGTAATAGATGTAGCACACATTACCAATCATTCTTTTGACGTCAAACATCTTCAAGTATTGTTCTATGTATAACTTTCAATGTTGATTATTATAGAATTTTGTCAACAAT